GTTTGGCGGGCCCAGACTGGATTCAAACCCGCCACCTTAGGTGTATGTGGCTAGCGCCTTAGCCACTTGAGCCACAGGTGCGGAGCCCTTTTTTCTTCTTTGTTGAGACAGATTCTCACTGTGCCACCCTTGGAAGAATGACATCATGTCATAGCTCACAGCAACCTCAAACTCTTGGGCTCAAAGTGATTCTCTTCCTCAAACTCCCTGGTAGCTGGGACTAAAGGCACCTGCCACAACACCCATCTATAAACATCAGTCCTGGGGCGGCACTGTGCTCAGTGAGTAGGGTGCTGGCCCCATATACCAAGAGTAGCAGGTTCGAACTCAGCTGGCCAAACTGCAACAAAAAAATAGACAGGCATTGTGGCAGGCACCTGTAGTCAGTCCTAGTTACTCAGGGGGCTGAGGTAAGAGAATCACCTAAGCCCAAGAGCTGGAGGTTGCTGTGAGCTGTGATGCCAGAGTATTCTACCAAGGGTGACAGAGTAAAACTCTATCTCTAAAAAATCATATATAGAGAGTGGTGCCTGTGGCTCATTGAGTAGGGCACCGGCCCCATATCCCAGCTGAACTGCAACCCAAAAATAGCTGGGTTTTGTGGTAGGCACCTGTAGTCCCAGCTACTTGGGAGGCTGAGGTAAGAGAATCGCTCAAGCCCAAGAATTTAAGATTATTGTGAGTGATGACACCACAGCACTCTACCAAGGGTGACACACTGACACTCTGTCTCAAAAAAAAAAAAAAAAGGAAAGAAAAGAAAAATTTCTACAAAGATGTTAAGGTCGAATTTTTCTAGTCAAACTTTGCAAATTCTTGCTAAAACAGCCCCAAATCATGGTGTTCTCCATATTTTCAGTAGTGATTTCAACCAAAAAGAAAAAAGTACTTACCTATTTCACTAGCAGGACTGGGGGCCGAAGCGCTGAAGAGGACCTCTATGAGTAGGGATGCAGGGCCAGAATGATACTTCTTTAGTGCAATCAGAGCTCTGCCAAGAGAGAAAACTAAAATTCTGGGGTCTGGTACAGAGGTTCACCCCTGTAATCCTAGCACTCTGGGAAGCCAAGGCAGGTGGATTGCCTGAGCTTAGGAGTTGGAGACCAGTCTGAGCAAGAGTGTGGCTCTGTCTCTACTAAAAATAGAAAAACCAGTCAGGCATTAATGGTTTGTGCCTACAGTCCCAGCTACTCAGCAGGCTAAGGCAAGATGAACTCTTGAGCCTGAGAGTTTAGTTTGCTATGAGCTATGATACCATGGCACTCTACCTAGAGTGACAGAGTGAGACTGTCTCAGAAAAAAAAAAGTGAGAAAAAAATAAAAAATAAAATAAAATTAATTAGGAGCTCAGTGGAAACCAGTGATTCAGTGCACCAAGCTCCTGCCCTAGCATTGCCATCACCTCATGGGATGGGCACACCACAACTCCTTGCTCTTTGCTCAACAAGAGAAATGGGAGATGTTTGTGTTTAAGAAAAAGGTTACATAGGCAGCGCCTGTGGCTCAGTGAGTAGGGTGGAGGTTTCAAACCCAGCCCCAGCCAAACTGCAACAAAAAAATAGCCAGGCGTTGTAGCAGGCGCCTGTAGTCTCAGCTACTCAGGAGACTGAGGCAAGAGAATCGGCTAAGCCCAAGAGCTGGAGGTTGCTGTGGGCAGGCATCCTCAAACTATGGCCCACGGGCCACATGCAGCCCACCTAGAACACTTATCTGGCCTGCCAGGTGTTTTTGCTGCCGCTGCCTATCTTGCTTAGCAGCCAACTTGTCCCAGGGCCCGCACTCCAGCCCTCCAACAGTCTGAGGGACAGTGAACTGGCCCCCTGTTTAAAAAGTCTCAGGACCCCTGGAGTAGGGTACCAGCCCCATATGCCACGGGTGGCAGGTTCAAACCCAGCCCCGGCCAAAAAACAAAAAACAAAAAAAAGGTTACCTGTAGGGCCAGGTATAGTGGCTCATCATACCTGTAATCCTAACACTCTGGAAGGCTGAGGTAGATGGATTGCCTGAGCTCACATGTTCGAGACCAGCATGAGCAAGAGCGAGACCTCATCTCTAAAAATAGCCGAGCATTGTGGTGGGCGCCTGTAGTTCCAGCTACTGGGGAGGCTAAGGCAAGAGAATCACCTAAGCCCAAGAGTTTGAGGTTGCTGTGAGCTGTGACACCACAGCAGTACACCGAAGGCAACAAAGTGAGACTCCGTCTCAAAAAAAAAAATTGTTATGTGTGATTTCCAGCCACAAACACTTACTTTTTCAGTCTCTTATAAGTGACATCATTGGCAAGTTTTAACAGTCTGTAGGAATTCTCTCGGTCCAAGCTCAGCTGGAAATCCTGGGACTCATCAAAGGCGACCGTGGCCGACTTCTGGGTGATGCGGGTCAGGATCCCGGTAGCCAGCTGACTGCCTTCGCTAGCAGTGTCATACAGACCCACTATGTCGCCTACAAAAACAAAAACTCAGTTACACTGAAAAAAGTTAAATAGTATTTCTACAATAAAATCCAGCATATTTCAAATGTTTTTGTTACCTTCTTTAGTAAATAGCATCACTTAATTTAAAAAAAAAAAACTGTTTAACACCTAACTCGGGTATGAAAATTTACTTGAGATCAATAACTATTCAAAACATGCCTGACAGTAAACTATCGACAGTGCTTTACTCTGGACCAAGCACTGTTCTAGGTACTGCTCCGTGCTATGAACCTGAGGGCCAGTCCCCCGGCCCCACATCGGCAGGGGGAGAAAACAAATACACTGACCTACAAGATGTAGCTGCTGAGTGCGCTAAGGAATAAGCACAAGAAGCAGACAGAGAGGGACAGGACACTACTTAAAGTAAGAGTGTGACAGAAGGACATCTTTGAGGCATGCAGGGAAGCAGGGTGGGCACTGAATGAGGCAAGGGCCACAGGCACATCTGGAGAACATTCCAGTCAGAAATGCAACTTGAATACAGAAGGGAACAGTGGCTGTTTACTGTCCAGGAAGCAGGGATCTCCCGATGGCCTGGGATAACTGTTCAGTCTCACCTTCCCCAGCTGAGTCTGAGGGGCTTCCCCAGACCCACACCCAAGCCATCTGTGCTTCACATGAACTGTGGCCACAATTACTGGTTCAAGGAAGGGCATGTGGCCCAAATCAGAGGCCCTGAAATGCAATGCGACTCGTGCTTGGGCACCTGGCTGGAGAGGCCCACTCTCTCTACTTAGACCAGAAACCTGAGAGAATGGAGGAGGCAGAACAGCTCTCACAGGTGCCTGAGATGGAAACCAATCCCGAAGAGGGCAGAGCTGAGAAATGAAGACTCTGAGTGAGTGGGGTTGCCAACAGATTACATGGGCAGGACTGAATGTGTGCACAACTGGTTGGCAAACTCTGCAACTGCTAAGGTAAGATTATATACTCATTCAGTAAGTCCCAGCATGCTCCTTGGAGTCTTGCAGCCTTCAGGCTACAACAGCCAAAGCATTCCCTTCTTGTGTTTGCCAGTTTGGCTCAGGTTTTTGTCACTTGGAACACATGGAGTTATGACTGAAACAGAATCCACTCTGAGATAAAAGTCAGGGTCACTCAATCTGTTTACACCCCACTTACTCAATGTCTGAAATCTCGCAGACAGGTTTCATCTGCACCTTGAATCTCATCCCTGTCTCCTTCCCCGACTTTATAACAGCAGGTGGTAACAATGCTCACCAATAATGCTCCCAGGGACAGAGGTTTAGCTCTGCACAGGGACCACCATGGGGCTGAGGACAGAGGATCCCTTCCCCCCCATCCTCCCACCCCCTGGCAACTTTCTTGTGAATCGCCCTGGATAGGACCCACATGTCAAGATTTACATTTATGAGCTACTCAGACTCAATGCTGCTCCTCAAAAGATGAACAAATAACCACTTCACCTGAATCTGATCCACAGCTATATCAAAACACCAAACTTTCCACTTACTACCTCTCTCCATAAATGCCACTTCTTCTGTCTCCCTGTTCACCAACTACTCACTAATCTCCTATAGTCACTCCCTCCACACTTACTGAATGAGTATATAATCTTACCTTTGCAGTTTCAAAGTTTGCAAACCACCTGTACACACATTCAGTCCTGCCCACTTAATCTGATGACAACTCCACTCCCCCCTAGAGGGTGAGTGACTAACTCCAGGTCCCACAACAAGACAGCATAAATTCTGCTTGGGTCTGACTCCATGCAGCAGGTTCCTCCCATCACCTTTGCCCACAAATACCCTCATCTTATCTCCAAATTTGGTCTTTATTCATTCCAACAATTATTGGGGCAAGAATCTATAAAATTCAAAATATGAAATCAAAAAAACTGTTACCACCAAAAAGGCAGGTAAGACTTTCATAGTGAGAAGTACAGCACCGGGAGCATTGTTTTCCATAGGCTTCCCGGACTGTCCAAAACAACCAGCCCAGGTCCATGGTTAAGAAGCATCTACTCGGCTTGGCACCTGTGGCTCAAGTGGCTAAGGCGCCAGCCACATACACCTAAGGTGGTGGGTTCGAATCCAGCCTGGGCCCACCAAAAATAACACTGATTGCTGCAACCAAAAAAAAAAAAAAACAAAAAAACAAATAGCTGGGCGTTGTACCAGGTGCCTGTGGTCCCAGCTACTTGGGAGGCGGAGGCAGAAGACTCACTTGAGCCCAGGAATTGGAGGTTGCTGTGAGCTGTGATGCCATGGCACTCTACCCAGGGGGACAGCTTGAAGCTGTCTCAAAAAAAAAAAAAAAAAAAAAGAAGCATCTACTCAATTTTGGGCAGCACCTGTGGCTCAGTGAGTAGGGCACCAGCCCCATACACCAAGGATGGCGGGTTTCAGCCCGGCCCTGGCCAAATTGCAACAAAAAACAGCTGGGCTGGGTGGCACCTGTAGCTCAAGGAATAGGGGCAGAGGTGGCGGGTTCAAACTCGGCCCCAACCAAAACTGCAAAAAAAAATAACCAGGCATTGTGGAGGCGCCTGTGGTCCCAGCTACTCAGGAAGCTCAGGCAAGAGAATCGCCTATGCCCAAGAGCGGGAAAAAAAAAAAGGGGGGGGGTGTCACCTGTGGCTCAGTGGGTAGGGCACCGGCCCCATGTACCAAGGATGGCAGGTTCAAACCCGGCCCCAGCCAAACTGCAACAACAACAACAAAAAAAAATAGCCAGGCATTGTGGCAGGCACCTGTAGTCCCAGCTACTCAGGAGGCTGAGGCAAGAGAATCGGCTAAGCCCAGGAGCTGGAGGTTGCTATGAGCTGTGTGAGGCCAGGGCACTCTACCAAGGGTGATAAAGTCAGACTCTGTCTCTACAAAAAAAAAAAAAAGAACTCTTTGGGCTCAAGCAATGCTCCCACCTCAGCCTCCCAAGTAGCTGGAACTACAGGTGCATACCACCATGTCTAGCTATTTTTTTCAAAAGTTTTTTTGTAGAGACAGGGTCTCACTATGTTGCCCAGGCTGGTCTCAAACTCCTGGCCTCAAATAATCCTCCTACCAAACTGCTGGGATTACAAGCACTTTGCCCGGCAATATTAAAAAATTTAAAACAAACAGGTAAACTGTTTTTAATAAGAATATATTTTATGGGTGGCACCTGTGGCTCAGCGGGGAGGGTGTCCACCCCATATACTGAGGGTGACAGGTTCGAACCCAGCCCTGGTCAAACTGCAACAAAAAAAATTAGCCAGGCATTGTGGCAGGCGCCTGTGGTCCCAGCTACTCAGGAGTCTGAGGCAAGAGAATCACCTAAGCCCAGGAGTTGGAGGTTGCTGTAAGCTGTGACACCATGGCACTCTACCAACAGTGATAAAGTGAGACTTTGTCTCTTTTAAAAAAAAAAAAAAAAGAATATATTTATTTAACCCAATATATTTCAACATGAAATCAGTATTCAAATAAATTACTTGTGAGATACTCCTAATTTTTTTTCCTTTTCAGACAGAGTCTCACTCTGCTGCCTAGCCTAGAGCGCCATGGCCTCAGCCTAGCTCATAGCAGCCTGGAATTCCTGGGCTCAGATGATCCCCAACCTCCTGAGTAGGTGGGACTATAGGCTCCTGCCATGACACCTGGCTAATTTTTCTATCTTTAGTAGATAATTTTTCTATTTTTACTAGAGACAGGGTCTTGCTCAGGCTGGTCTCAAACTCCTGAGCTCAAGGGAACCCTCTGCCTCAGCCTCCCAGAGTGCTGGGATAATAGACATGAACTATTGTGGTCGGCCAATTGTTGGGTTTCTAATTAAGAGTTCTTCATTGCAACGCTTATCCTCTGCCTGGTCATTGTAATCCAGTCTTTGTACACACACAAGTCACAGTTTGCACACCAGCAGTATTTCAATATATGTCTACATCAACACACACACATACACACACCGGAGGTAAAACTGTTACTAGGAAGAACTGCTTCAGACCCGCATCTCCTGGGCTCAAAGGTGACCAGCAGCCGTCCATACAGCCCAGTGCACTGGCTTGACACCTGCAGCTTCAGCAAACACACGCCTCGGCTCTGGAGCTCTTTCAGAGAGATGTTCTCCTGCCAGGACCTGGAAGACACCCAGGACTGATGCTTCACAATTTGTACCTTTACCAGTTTCTACTTCATCTGTGCAGAAAAAGTCAGAGGGAAAGGAAAAGAGATAAAGATCTGGGCACAGGCACCAAATACATCCCCAATGGAACTGCAAACCTGCTATACTCCCAAACCTGCTCCTACTATATCCCTTAGGACAGTCAGTGCCACCTTTGTCCCAGTTACCTGAGACAGAGCCTCCTGTGTACAGCAGTCTCACTGTGCTCAGGTACCGCCTCCTTCCAGAAGTCACCCTGACCCTCCCTGGGGCAGAAGTTCTTTCCCACTCTCCCAGCTCCCACTGCACTTTCGCTGCACACTGCACACAGGCACATGGGCAAGTTGGACGAGATGTTCTGTTTCTGTCCTCTGCTCATGCCCAGCCTCCACCTGACCATGGACCAATGACCAGTCACCTTCACCTTCCCTACTTTACCTCCTATATCTTGATTCCCAGCTATCACTAAGTCCTATTAGGTCCCTCCCACATATACCCTGGTTCAGTCTCTGCCTCTCATCCCAGCCACTACAGCCCTGGTTCAAGGCCACATTACTGCTCCCCTGGACTAAACAGAGCTCCCTAACTGCCTTCCCTCTGGCCTCTTCCTGTCCGAGTGCCAACAAGAGCACCCAAGGGATCTTCCCAGAAGGCAAGTCTATTCTCCTCCCTCATCTGCTTAACCCACAGGTAACAGGAAACTCCTCAGCAAGGCACCTCTCAGCCTGGTCCCTGCCTATCTGTCTGTCATGGTCAGGAAGAGCTCATCACTGGGCTCACTCTGCACTTGGTACTGAGCTGAGCACTCCACTTACAGTGGGTCATCTTGTTCTCAGGGCAAACCTGTGGGGCAGGGATCATCCCATTTTTTACAGATGAAGTAAGTAAGACTCAGAGACAGAACCTACAAAGTCATGTGGCCATAAACGAAGGAGATGGAGCTCTAATAAGGTCAATATGACTTCAAAAGCTCTTAACCATCATGATCAACAGGCTCTCAAATAAATCCTTTCAAAGAATGGTTGAGTGCCCGACCTCAAAACCTGACTCCTCTGTGTTACTCTGGGTAAGTCACTTACCCTTCTCTGTCACAGTCTCCTTAGATGGAAAATGACAGTAACAGTAACCTACTCTGTAGGGCTGGCATGAAGTTTAAGACAATTAGGGAATTAAAGCCTGGAAAGCATACATATGTTCGTTCTTACTGTTTCAAGCAAATAACTTCCCACTCAGAAACAAGCCTGGTGGCTCCGCGCCTGTGCCTCAAGCAGCTAAGGCGCCAGCCACATACACCTGAGCAGGCAGGTTCAAATCCAGCCGGGGCCCACCAAACAACAATGACAGCTGCAACCAAAAAATAGCCAGGCATTGTGGTGGGCGCCTGTAGTCCCATTCACTCGGGAAGATGAAGCAGGAGAATTGCTTGAGCCCAGGAGTTGAAGATTGCTGTGAGCTGTGATGACACTGCACTCAAGGGTGACAGCTTGAGGCTCTGTCTCAAAAAAAAAAAAAAAAAAAAAAAAAAAAAAAAAAAAAAAAAAAAAAAAAAAAAAAAAAAAAAGAAAAAAAAAAAAAAAAAAAAAAAGAAACAAGCCTGGCTCTCCTAGGGTTCCCCACATCTCTTTCAGGAATGCTCCTCCACCCGCGTACACCAGCTTAACTCCATATTTTTCTTCAGACTGTGCTCAGGCACTACCTCCTCCCAGAAGCCACCTTCCCCCTTCCCCAGCTCCCACTACACTTTCTCCACACACAGGCCACATGGGCAAGCTGGACGGGGTGTTCTACGTTTCTGTCTTCTGCACCTGACCGAATCATGGTCACTGAGACACTGCATCATCTCACTCCATTTGCCCCGGCCCGCCATAGAATAGACGCAAAAGGAGTTTCTGGAGTGGCTGAAAAAATAAAGGGGCCGCGAACTCGCTGGGGGGCGAACGCGGACAAGGACCAGGAGCCAGGAGGGTTAAGTTCAGACTGAGGGGTTTCAGGTAGAGACAAGAAAAGGCTTCGTAAAGGTGTCAAAACGAGCGAGCTGCTCAGGAGGAGATGATGGGGCTGCCATCTCTGGAGGTGGCAAAGCAGGGGCCGGCGGACTCGAGGGGTCGCGGGAGGAAACTCCCGCCCAGCTGCCGGGCCGAGCCCCTCCGAGACTCCGCCGGGGATCTGGGCGGGGCTGCAAGGAAAGGCCGGACAGACACGCTGGAGCGGCGCCCCACGGCCACCCATACCTGCGTTCCTCCACCTCCGCGTCTCTCTCGAGCTCCAGCAGGTCCAACTGCTTGGTCACAAAGCTCTCCACGGCTGCCGAAGCCATCGCGCCGCCGGCCTGAGTGCGGAGCCGCCGCGGCCCCGCTTCCACACCGGGCCAGTGTTCTCCTACCGACCGGTGTTCCCGGCCGGGCCTGTGCATCCACGCACGGGGTTCGCGCCGCTTCCGCTTCCGGCCAAGGGTGCGGGAATATGGCGGCGGCCTTGGGGGCATCGGCTTTGACGGTCACCTTTGGGCGGCTGGTGTCCGCGTGTAGCCGCAGCATCCTGAGACCTTCGGGGCCCGGAGCTGGTGAGACCGGGACCGCCGGGTGGAGGGAGGAAGGGGAGTGAGCGGTGCTACCTGCGGTCCTGTCACGTGTGTGCCGGTGTTGATCGCCTTCGTGATAAATACTAGCTTGAATTTTGGAGTCGGGGGAACCTGGATTCGGATCCTCGTTCTTCAATTAGTAGCTTAAATAATGACGATAGCCTTTCAGCTTCTGTATAGGCCCTGTGTTATAGGGAAACAAACTCAAAGAAGTTCGGGAACTTGACCCAGGATAACAGGGAGGAAATTGGAGAGGAGTGATGCCGAAAACCCTGTGCTCCAGAACCCAGGCTTGAACCTTTGCTCCACACTCTCCGAGAAAATGTCCTCATCTAAAAAATGATGTCCTTGTCTAATCCGAACTCATTCATTAAAAACAACAGCTGTATTGTAGACATTGGCCAGTTATGAGGCTTAAAAAAAAATCTCTGCTCGAAAATTATTGAGGCGGGCCGGGCACAGTGGCTCACGCTTGTAATCCTAGCATTCTGGGAGGCCGGGGCGGGTGGATTACCTGAGCTCAGGGATTCAAGACCAGCCTGAGCAAGAGTGAGACCCCATCTCTACTAAAAAAAATTGAAAAACTGAGGCAAGAGGATCACTTGAGCCCAAGAGTTGAAGGTTGCTGTGAACTATGATGCCACAGCACTCTACCCAGGGAACAGCTTGAGACTTTTGTCTCAAAAAAACAGAGAAAGAAAGTAATTGAGGTGATTGTATGCGGCACTGTGCCTTAAAATTGGGTGTCGTGTGTCACCAGGACCTGAAAAAAAGGAGATCTAACATTATATTTGACTCTGTCAAAGAATTGTTTGTATTTTTTTTTTTTTTTTTTTTGAGACAGAGCCTCAAGCTCTCACCCTTGGTAGAGTGGGTAGAGTGCTGTGGCATCGCAGCTCACAGCAACCTCCCACTCCTGGGCTTAAGCTATTCTCTTGCCTCAGCCTCCCAAGTAGCTGGGACTACAGGCACCTGCCACAACACCTGGCTATTTTTTGGTTGTAGTTGTCACTGTTGTTTGGTAGGCCCAGGCTGGATTCAAACCCCCCAGCTCTGGTGTATGTGGCTGGCACCTTATCTGCTTGAGCTACAGGCGCTGAGCCAAAGAATTGTTTTTTATGTTTACTGATGATCATTTTTTTAATGTTTATTTATGATCACTTTTTAAAAATCGTCAGTACTAAAAGATAGTTTTTAAAAAATGATTCTTTATCATAAAAATATACTGATATCTTTGCTGATAAAACAGGAAATCTGGGGCAGTGTCTGTGGCTCAGTGGGTAGGGTGCCAGCCCCATATACCGAGGGTGACAGGTTCAAACCTGGCCCTGGCCAAACTTATGTCTTATGGTCTTTTTTTTTTTTCTTTTTGAGACAGAATCTCAAGCTGTCCCCCTGGGTAGAGTGCTATGGCATACAGCTCGCAGCAACCTCCAACAGCTGGGCTCAAGTGAGTCTCCTGCCTCCGCCTCCCAAGTAGCTGGGACCACAGGCACCTGCCACAATGCCTGGCTATTTTTTGGTTGCAGCCATTGTTGTTTGGTGGTCCCAGGGTGAATTCAAACCCACTACTTCAGGTGTATGTGGCTGGTGCCTTAGCCACTTGAGCCACAGGCGCCAAGCCATGTCTTATAGTCTTATGGAGAAAAAGAAAGCATGAATTGGGAGGGAAAGATTCCATTTTCAATACAATAGCCAAGAAAAACCTCTCTACTGAGATGGTATTTTAGTGGAGATTTGAGGGAAGTGAGAGAATTAACTTTGCAGGTACCTAGCAAGGGGGGAAATGTTCCAGGTGAAAAATAACCCAGGCACTGGGGCAGCACCTGTGGCTCAGTGGGTAGGGCGCCAGCTCCATATACCAAGGATGGCAGGTTCAAACCCGACCCCAGCCATACTGCAACAACAACAACCTAAATAACCCAGGCAGGCCAGCTATGGTCGCTCATGCCTGTAATCCCAGCAGTTTGGGAAGCCAAGGTGAGAGGATCACATGATGCCAGGAGTTTGCAACCAGCCTGGGCAATATAACAAGACCCCATCTCTCCCAAAAAAGGAATAGTCAAGGCACAGTGTCCAAGGCCAGCACAGGCCTGGTGTGGTCTAGGAATATGGAGGAAATGGAGTGGCAAGTGCAAAAGTGAATAAGGGGGAGAGCATAAAAGATGGTTTCAGAGAGACAGGAGGGGGTTGCGTTGTCCCTCTGCCCTGTAGGCCACAGTAAGAACTTTGGCTCTTTCTTTGACCGAAATGGGAAGCTCTTGGAGAGTTTCAGCAAAGTAGTGACATGATCTGACTTAAGTGTTCACAGACTCATTCTCACTATGGTGAGAGGAAAGGAGGCAAGGGTGAGAGCAGGGTGATAGTAATAATCCAGGCAGGAAAAGGGGGTGGCTTGGGTGATTCAAGAGGTTAGATTCCAGTCCCCTAAAGAGAGAGTTAACAGGATTTGCTGATGGGTTGGCTGAGCAGTGTGACAGAGGTCTGGGGCCTGAGCAACTAGCAGGCTGAGGTTGCCATAGTGTTAGATGGGAAGGAGCATGGCCAAAGCCGGCAGGGGAGAAACCAGTTGCCTTTGTAGGTCTGGATGCCTGTCAGACACACAAGTGATAGTGGGACATAGGCTGCTGGTGTGCAAGGCCAGGAAAAACATGCTGGCTGGAGGTGTAAGCTTGGTAATCACCAGCGTATAGGAGATATTTAAGCCCATCCAGCTAGATGCAGTCCCCAGAGAAATGGGCATAGACAGAAGAAGGGAAGACCCAGGCTGAGCCCCAGGCTCCCAAGTGGAAGAGGAGGGACCAGCCAAGGAGATGAGGATGGGAGCCACTGCTCATGGAGGTAGTTGAATTTTTAAAAAATTGCTAAGAAATCTGTCTGTGTTTTACACTTGAATACTGTCCATTCTATTTCTTTCCTTTTTTTTTTTTTTTTTTTGAGACAGAGCCTCAAGCTGTGCCCTGGGTAGAGTGCCATGGCTTCACTGCTCATAGCAACCTCCAACTCCTGGGCTCAAGCGAGTCTCCTGCCTCAGCCTCCCAAGTAGCTGGGACCACAGGCGCTCGCCACAACGCCCAGCTATTTTTTTTTTTGGTTGCAGCCATTATTGTTGTTTGGCGGGCCTGGGCTGGATTCGAACCCGCCACCTTGGGTGTATGTGGCTGGCGCCTTGGCCACTTGAGCCACAGGTGCTGAGCCTGTCCATTTTATTCCTGAGCCTCTCTTCAGACTGTGAATATCTTTGTCCCTCAGTATATTATCTACTGCAGTTATCTTAAGACTCCCCTGGAACCCGAGCTCAGTCACTCATGCCTGTGATACTATCACTTTTGGGGGCCAAGATGGGTGGATTGCTTGAGCTCAGGAGTTTGAGACCAGCCTGAGCAAGAGTGAGACCCTATCTCTACTAAAAATAGAAAAACTAGCCAGACTTTGTGGTGAGTGCCTATAGTCCTAGTTACGTGGGAGACTGAGGCAGGAGGATTGCCTGAGCCCAAGAGTTTGAGGTTGCTGTGAATTGTGATGACACCACCATGCTCTAGCTTGGGGCAACAGAGTGAGACTCTTGTCTCCAAAAAAAAAAAAAAAAAAAGACTCTCTAGGGCTGGAGAATCTACTCACGGGCTTACTCCTGTGGGTGTTGACCAGAGGCCCAGTTCTTTACCCCTCACAGGCCTGCTCCCAGCGTGGCAGCTCCTGCAGACAGACATCAGAGGGACGAGCAGGCCTGGGCAGCCACAGGGGAAGTCACAGTCTATAACTCATCTCAGGAGTGATGTGCCATCATTCCTGCCACAAGCCATTGGACACAAAGATGAACCCCTAGGAGGGACAACATAGGCAAGAACACCAGGAGCAGGATTCGTCAGGCCACCTGGGAAGCTGCTCCCACACCAAGACACAGAATAGGGACTGAGCTTAGTAGACACTTGGTGGCCAAGGAATGGGTTGGTGGGTGGGGAGTGATTCTGGGCGTGGTGCTTTTAGATGCTGTGGTGAACACACACATAATAAATGATGTTCTTTTTTTTTTTTTTTTTTTGCAGTTTTTGACTAGGGCTGGGCTTGAACCTGCCCCCTCCCCCCCAGTATATGGGCCGGCACTCTATTCCTTGAGCCACAGGCGCCACCCAGTACATGATGTTATTTTAGTTTTGTTCACTTAGATTTTTCTGTAGGCAGAGTGTAATGTGGTTTGAATCAGAGCCAGTACCAGCAGCTAAGCTCGTGGTGCCGTAAAGGGAGGTTTGCACCTTGCGGTAGTGATCACCTATGTCTCTCTTGTTCCCTTAGCTTCCCTTCGGTCTGCTGCTCCAAGATTCAGCTCGCAGAGCACTTCGTTTCCACAAGGGTAATATCAAATGTGGGTTCTGGTGACTTTTTTTTTTTCCTTCATTTGTACAACTGTCTTTCTAAGGTCAAAACTTCTTCAGACAGGCATGGTGGCATGCACCTGTGATCTCATCTACTGGGCAGTCGGAGGCAGGAGGATCGCTTGGGCCCAGGAGTTCAAGCAGTTGGAGCCACTACATTCCAGCCTGGGCAACAGAGCAAGGCACTGTCTATATTTTAAAGGGGAAAAGGACAAAACTTACTACATTTTGTACTTTGAGAATGTCTTTAAATTTTCTCTTAACTTCTTTGACACTGTTTTTCCTCAGCTCCTTAAAATACAGACAGAACTACAAAAGTGCAAAGAGAAGGATGCAGGCCCCATGTCTTTGCCTGTTGTTACAGAGAATCTCTCTCTCTTTTTTTTTT